ATCAGCTGACTGGCCAAATGAATTCTTGCTGTGAGTATGAGCAAGCGTAGGAGCAAACCATATTTTGTTTTGCCTGGTGACATCAGAAACAGACTGATTTCTGGTTTCAGAGTCTTTCTGGACTGCTATTAAAAATGGTCTGCGTGAAGCACAAAGAACATGATTAGTGTTTCTCGTATTGAGGAATAAACTCAAGAAGTTGCATGTGGAAGATACACATCTTCTTTAATCTTGTGCTTGGACAGAAGTGAGAGCGTGGTCTATGCGAAAGCGCTGGAGTCCAGGATGGAAAAAAACAGTTCAAGTGGGCACTATCAACTATAGGCGTACACTGGCTTTTTTGCAATCTCAAAGCTTTTCAAGCTCCACGTAGATGCAGACGGGGGCTGCTTACATCTAGCAGATACAGAATGTATTTAAACTCTCAGCTTGATTAATTTTTGCTTATGGTTTACTTTCTAGCTATTTTGCTAAAGGCGCCATAAAACTCTCCTGAACTTGTACTAGAACAAAATCTCTGCTGTGGTGCTTTGCAACAGCCCACGCTTATCTACCAGAAAAATCCCGACCAACGCAGATTAAATCCCATGCTCTGTACAGGTCTCAGTTCCAATGCTACCACCTTACAGGAAGACTGAGTAAAGTGTGAATGTAAGACCAAGATGAGACTTTACAAACGCTTCCTTATCAAAATATTTATAAGAAAAGGCGCAGCACAACTTTCTCCAACAGATGACTGAAGTTTGGGCCAAGGGAAACAAGCCTCACTGGTAACCTGTTATGCTTCTACACGGGGCCAGCAAGCTTCTACTTCCATGTCCTGTTTCTGAGATGATGTTTCAACATATTTACAGGCAGGGGAAGAAAGAAATTGCTTTATATTTGCCACACTTACGCTGACTGTCCTGAATTCTCAGCAGGGCCACTCCAGCTGGCCCCAGACCGTAGCAAGAAACAGAAAACCATCCCGACTCACTGCATCAGGATGAATGAGAAAATAAAGAGTCAGTGACAAAGACATCTGAGATAGGACACGGAGCTGAAATCTGTTCTTACATGCAGGTTCTAGAAGAACTTTTGGCCAAAGCTTTGCACCCTGTTGTGTTGCCTACCTAGTCATCTTAAAAGATGAAGGGGAGAAGGAATGAAGAAAGTGATGTCGGTGATGGTGAATGGGTGCAAGGAATCTGCAGATCATTAGATACCTAACGTTCATACCAGGCTAATGATTTGGATAAAGTAATTCAATAGATAGGCATTCTACTCAGCTGATTCACACAAGCAGCGCTTACAGGTCTGGCTTACGTGACGACGGATACTTGCGAGGTGACGACTGGTATTGGTTAAAAGCAAGTGTAAACCCGCAAACTGGAATGGAAGAGTTTTTGCTCACTTTGCATCTCGTGTATCCTGTTACATTTGTGCAAGGCACTAGAGAATCAGGCACATTGTTTTGGGTGGAAACCATTTTATGACTAAGATGATCCGAGTTTGTAACGTCCAATAGCTGCTATTTCATACAGGAGCACTTGGAGCAGTCACGTTTTTAAAACTGCCATTAAAATTCCCCACTTCTAAAATTATCTCCTTTTCCAGATTTTTCTGGGGGGAGGGCTAAATGGGTAAGTGGGAAATAGCTTTGTTATAACAAGAAAACTCCTGAAGGTAAATATTTGGGATCTATGCAGTTGATCTCCACTCTGATACTGATGTTGGCAATTTCTCTTACCAGCATCAATACCAGTAAGTGGTTAAACCCAATAAAATAGATCCTTCCATTTTTATATCTCAGGGAGAAGTTCTGGCTCTTGACATACATGAAGCCACGTCCAAATCCCTGCAGCACACAGAGACCGCGTGACGCATTCAGGCCGTTCTTCCTGACCTATCTCCCACAAAGACACCAAAAATAAGGGAAATGGCGTGTACCGATGAAGATAAACGACCAAAGCATTCAGGCTAGCTCTTCCTTGGGAAACAAATCTCACTCTTTTGGGGAGGCCGGTGCAGAAGGTTGAGATGAATCGGACGTTAGGAGGACAGCGATGCAGCTTACAGCAACACCGAAGCAAGAGACTGAAAAATGGAAGAAGTTATTCCAGATTACGCTCGGTCCTGCCAGCAGAGGAAAGGCTTTGCTGACATGTCCGTTCTTGCTGGGTGGGTCAGGAGGGTGAAGGGGATCTTGGCAGATGCCGAAGTGCTTGCGTGACATGAAGTAATCTGAGTTCCAAGCACAAAGCAACTGATGAAGGCTTCACGCAGGTCCAGACGGCCGTGCCGTCTCGCTATTGCAGGCCACGGTTGAGACATGGTTACTCGAGGACTGCCTACTTTTGAATCAAAATGCCACAGCCGTAAGATGCAAAACTGATTTAATATAAACTGCTGATTAAAGGTTGTGTAAAAATACTGGCAAATTTAGCTTTGTCCTGGCAGGATTTATCAAGTATCTTCTGTCCTCTGTTTTGTTAACACCAACTTTCTAGATTTGTGGCTTTTGTGCCTATATGTAATCCATATCAAATTTGTACCAGAGGGCCATCTGATCTGGTGACAAAACCATTCTTCCATGCAGAAATTTATAAAGAATAATCTTATTACAATAATTCGTAAAGTGCCCTCAGGAAAGGTGCTCACAATGCCATGACATTATAGAAACAATATACAATCTGATACATTATTTTCAAAAAAATCCTCCAAAGCAAAAAGAGAAAATAGAAAAGGAGGGGAACAACAAATATATACGCAAATACGGTCAGTCTAGCAATAGTCAAATTAATTATGGAAATTATAATTAGTCTCAGAGTGCTTGTAAAAATGGGGGGGCAAATTGGCAGGAGTATCTTGGAAAAGACCCACATTTTCTAAGTTCTACCAAAGTAAATGCACCAACAGCAAGCTCAGTGTTTTACGATTAAATGACTATGAATTACTATGAGGTATTTTACTAAGGAAATTGAAAAAAATACAACATCCAAAGAAAACCCATGACCCACATCTTACTAAGACGATAAAACAGTGGCTATATGTATCCACTGACCTTTAGTGTCTTGTTTTATATTTATAAAGAAAACAATCTTTCTTCTCCCTGTTGATCCCAGATTATATATATATATATAAAAACCCTATATAATATATAGTTATATATTTTATATATATATATAAACACTCATACACACACATCTGTGTATGTATTTCAGGGTCTTACTAGATTTCAGAGTCTATTTTCCTTTTTTTTTTCTTTTAAATGACTTCGAGAACACAACTGGGCAAAAAATCAAGTAATTGCGTGCGTGCAAGCATATCTTGCCACTTGTGCATGCAAATGACACAATTTGTAAACAACTGCAGAAATAGCATGCTCAAATTAGGCATCTGATTGCCCAATTAACTTGTTCAAAGAAAATCAGATGATAACCTGCGGTAGCTCCTATTATAAATGTTACTTCTCGGTACTACCATACGGAATTCATAATGTGTATTCTTAAGAACTGCGTTGTTATCTTGTGCTTTTACAGAGGCATAAGCAGCAATGCACGCTTAATAAAGCTATCAAGTGAACTTTGGACCAGATTTTAGAAAGCTGTTTAGATACTTAGAGTGCCCTTTTTTCAGTAAGGATGAGCCAGCTTAGACAATTAAAAAAAAAAAAAAAAAGAAAAAGATCTGGTCTAATTTCAAACGGTATGAAAAAACAAAAATCCAGGAATTTGTGGGCCTCCATGCCTCTATTAACAGGCAAAGTTTTGCTGCTGTGTTTTTGTTTGATTTTTTTTAAGGTGTCTTGTTTTGTTGAACAGGCAAGTATGGTTTAACTGTATACATTCATATCCTAGTAAATCCTTATTTTATTTTCGCATTGAAATAATCGTTAATTAATGGTAACTTGATACAGGTTGAGACAGAACACCAGCTTTCCGCATTCTGGTGTATTTTCTAATGGACAGAGAAACTAAAGTACCCAAATCTATCCAAGTACTGCAAGTAGAGAAACTTGTTAATTCGTGTATCAAAATGTGTTAAGAAATGGACTTTTACCATAAATACACTGCTCCTTTGCTGTTGCACTTCTTTTTCTGCGATGATGTTGTGGAAAGGGGGTATTTTCTTTTCTCTACCAATTTTTTGCATCAAATAAATCTTAGCAACTTTAATGGAGGGGGGAGGGGAGCTGAGCAAACCATTATCTTAACAACAATCTCTCAAATAAGAGAAAAGGAAGCAAGAGCAGAACTGCTGGGCTGGATCGTGTCCCTGAATAGGTATTACATATAATCCTAGCGGCTGCATTTACCAGTTCTTTATAGGCCTCCTGCAGCAGCAGACGTGCTGGTCCAACTGTTCCCCCCCGCCCCCCCAGAAACAGGAGAGCGGTAAGAAAAGCTACCGGACCCCAATTATATTCTTACGGGTTTCAATCAAGCATCACCGGATTTCTTCCCTCAACTTCTCGTTGTGACAGTATCTGCTGGTGACTTTCCATTGCTGCTTTTCTTCCTCTTGAGGATCAAAATCCAATTTGGTACTTAAATTACTTCGTTCCACTCCACTGGTCTGCGCCTGGTTTAAAAATCTTCCAGGAGCACTGCTTGTCCTTCTTGCAAATTCAGACTTTGCTTTTCTCCTATAAACAAACAAATGAAAATCCCAACTCCTCCCCACATCCCCTTTCCAAAAATATAATATAATCATGGTCATTCGTATCAGGAGAATTATTTAGCAGTCTCCAGTCTTAGTACAGCTTTTGTTGAGTAAACTGTAGCTTATATGACTCTGAAGTGTTTATTAGAAAGCTTTCAAAAAGAGATCTTTGTTTCAGGAAAAGAAAAATTGTTCAGTTTAGCAAATACAGACGTTCACAGCACAGAGACTGAAATGGTTAAAAATTATCCTAAGGAGCAAGTAGCTCACAGAGTTAGCAAAAAAATTAACTTTTTCCTTTCTTTTACAGAAAAACACTAATAGCTGCTCTGGTTTCCATACTTAGTAAGACAGAATTTTGTTGTATGTTCTTGGTTTTGCTTTTTTTTTTTTTTTTCTCTATTGCTCCACACAGGTTTTGATTAGTGCTTCTCCTTGGCTACAAGTGCTTCACTTTGAAATACAAAGCTCTTTTTAAAAAAAAAACCACCCGAAAAACAACAAAAAAACCCCCTCAACACCACATCACTGGAGGGAAAATGGGAAGTGATACAGTGCAGCTGCAGCAATCTGGTTCTGCTGTTGTCCTCCCCCATCCCCAAATCCTCTGCATAATTTCAATCTTTAGTCGATGAACCTTTGGCAGGCCTTCTTCCAGCGGCAGGCAGTACACCACATATCTCTGTTCTCCATCCCATAGACCTTCCGACACTTTTTCCCCTCCCCTCTAGGCTTCCTGTCAGAGAGAAAGGGAAGCTGGTTAACGAGATGCTTTCGTAGCTTTGCTCTATCACCCTAAGATCAGGACAACCATCTCAATGGAGTGCAGCAGGCAGAGAACCCCCAGCGTTTCAAAGGGATTTGGGTTGTTTTCGAGTCAACCGGGAGCTGAGGAAGCAGACAGGCGTAGGGCCGTGACTCCACAGCTCCGAGGGACCAGTCCTTCTCCTCGCCTGCCGTCCACAGCCTCTGCAGCAGCTGCTGAGCCCGCTCCTCTGCTCCGGGGCTGAGCCCAGGAATCATAGAATCACAGAATCGTCAAGGTTGGAAAAGACCCTTAAGATCATCAAGTCCAACCGTCAACCTGCGAACGCACAGCCCTGACGTTAGCCAGCGACTAAACCCGGTCTAGGTAAGTGGTACTTTAGCCATGTAATGGATAGTCATAGCTATTCTACAATACAGTCCGGGTCACGGCAGGCAGAAGTCGTCTTTGCTTTAGAGCTGCGGTACAAATATTTTGCATAGCTCTGAGCAGCAGACCTTGGCTACCAGCAGGTAGCAGCTATGCAAAGCAGGGGAAAAGCTACCAGCTCCTAAGCTTGCCAGCCCTTCCTGCGTGGTTTGCTCTGAGCTTACTGACTGAAAAATAACAACGTGATTGAAAACAAGTTTTAACCCTTGCCCTCAGGCTGCAGCACGTTCACGTGTGCTCCTTCTCTGTCGTTCCCAAAGCAGGCAGTGTCTGCTTTTAAAGCTGTAACGATTGTCATGTTTTCCATCTTATAATCACACTCAAAAGTTCACAAGTTTAGAAAATGATGGAAGTAACTGTTAAAACGGAACTTTTTTTTATTCAACACATAGAAAGGCAGCAAACCTGAGGAGCAATGCTACAAGGAGTAACCCAACGCTCGCTACAGCAGAGCCATCTGTCCTGGCATCTTTAAATCAAGTACCTGTACAGACAGAATTGTCTAATACCCGTATTACATGCTGCGCAGCACACACGGGAATTGCCTGGTGATTCCTCTCTTGCATACCTATACATTTTTTGATTACTGAACATTCATTAATGGGCACAATCACGAATTGGGAAGATCTTAAGTTTGGTTTGTAGCATATGCGATGATCTGAGAGTCATGAAGAAAACGAAAAGCATGAAATCTTTTTGTCTCGTTTTAGGGTACAGTCACCTCGAGGACTGTGAGAAATTAAGAGTTTCTTTACTGTAAGAAATTCAGCATCACAGTCTGATTTTTTAACATAACTTTTTGAACACTTTTAAAGCAGATTCTGGTCAAACATCAGTTAGCTGTAATGGAAGTGAATGTAGCTTACGTCTAGGAAGACAAGGTATAAAAAGCTCTGCTTTGTTCTAATTTGTTGTAAGATACAGTTTCTTATATAATTCACTTGTAGCCAAATACCATCCTGACTGAATGGTGATGAACGCACAAGACTGCCCAGACTTTGAGAGGAAAAAGCAAAGCCGCATAATGAAGTTCAGGATGCTTCAGCTGGAGCAGTGAATCTGGGCAGCGTTGCTTTACAGGGCAACTCAGATCTGCATCTGAGCTCCAGACACGCCTGGCATAAGGCCTGCAGTTTTGCCTCACAGCCTGCCTCCTTCGTTTTGCAACAACTCACTTTCCCCCCGAACTTTACTTTTGATGGCAATGAAAAGCAAAATAGGTCCAGAACAGTTACTCTGAAGCATTCCCGTAAGAAACTGCCTGACAAGTGCAATCACGGTTGGTGGTGTGGTTTTTCTGTTTCTTTGGCCACTGACATCTTATTTACTAAACGCCCTCCAGGTTCTGAGGCTGCTGGTCTGTCAGCAGGAGCTAATGGTCCCATACCTCAAGCCAAATGCTACTCTAGGCGGTGATGAAAGAACTGTGTGGGACTGTTTCTGCTCTCCACTCCCTGCAGGACGATTATGAGTTGGTGAGACCTGTCAATACAGACAAAAAAACTGCTTATGAAGAACATACACATATGAACGCAGTATAAACACTTCTCCCAGAAAATGCAATTCATGATGCATGGTGGCACGGATACCCCGGAAAGGTTGTTACGGAACATAAAAACCTAAGTAAGTTATAGGTCTATTTAGCAAGATGTCCACTGAGCATTAGGTACACTATATTAGCTCCATTTTGTTTCCCTGTACTTCCAGTCATCCAAACAGAGCAAACCAGAATACAGATCAGCATCATTTCAGGTTTTGGGAAATACAGAAAATTCATTCGTTCTCATTTAAGAACTCCGAACAGCTCTTATGAAAACTTTCTCCGATTTAAGCAGAGAAAATAACTGGAAAAATAAACTCCGGCCTGTGCCGAGATCAATACCAATAAACCCCTATGAAATAAAGGGATTTCACGTGTTGCTCTCGTCTGTGACTTGGCACTCTTTGCGGAGAGACGAGAAGGGGCTTTGCTGCAGGACAGTTGCGATGCAGCCCTCCAGGTTTTAACGGGAGTGCAAGGCAGCCCTTCTGATCAAGGCTGCCAACGAGACGTACTGGATTATTTCCTCTATTCTGCACTGTAAACCTTCTGAGCAGGTGTCCTCCTTTGTGCATGTTCTCGAGCAAAGGGTGTAGTTTGGTCTCCTGTGACTTTCCAAATAAGCCTCCTACATGAGCTTGGGGGTTGGCAACGTTATTCGGGTAATCGCATGGCATAAAGCTTGGCCTTAAATAATTCCGAAATTATTTACTGCTAGGGTGTTATTTTGCTCCTGGGTGAAGGCCATAACCATTTTACATCTAAAACACCAGAAAAAATGTACAAACACTCATTTTTTGTTAGGTACAGAATGCAGCAAGCGGCATTTGGGCACCTGCCCGGACCTGCAGGTATTGTCATAGCTCCCTGCATTGCTGTGACTTTTCAATCCTGCCCGTTTGAAGTCCCATCATATCTGGCAGAATGGGAACGGACCTGACTTGAAGAGATGAATGTGCTTTGATTTTTGATATAAAGTCTATTTTATAGCTACTCCACAGTAGCAAAAAAATATTACTTATAATG